GGTCGCCCAGAGGGCACGGCAAGTGGCTGCGGAGCCGCACAAAGGCGGCTTTTCATCGCGGGCTCCCTGGACCCGATAATTATCTTGGACAAAACTTCATTAGCGGGGCTTGCGGAGCCCCGCGAGTGGAGAGGGGACCCGCGCGAACAAAGCCAGGCACACATTCCAGCGCGCTCTTTGACTGCGCGTAATGAAGTGTGCAGCCGCCTGCCCTCGCCCGCGCTGGGACCCGGAGCCATTAGCGCACAAACGCTGTTTTCTCCACTTCCCAACCCAGCGTGGGACGCATCAATCAACGGCTCCAGGCCCCTCCGGCCGCGGCCCAGGGGAGAGCTAATCCTCGAGGGGGGCCGCTCTCGTACCGGCGTGTTCACTAATTGGGGAACAATGCGCCCTGACAGGCTGCAAACTCGTGAACTATGGTATCGACTCTGGACGTTCTGGAAGGCAGGGGGACATCCGGAGCTCGCGCCCGGGGCCTGGCGCTGGGGCGATAAGAGGAGATTCCCCCCTCTGAGCATGTTAAAGCCAAATGATGGGGCGTCGCGTATCTTGACAAGGGAGATAGCCCAGTCACACGCGGGCTGCGGCGCTTCCTCGCTAGGCGGCTTCCCCGCCGAGGCGCCACTGCAGGAGAAATTCCTCAGCAACGACCCAGGCTCTGGCAGGGCGGGGCAGGACGAAGGGACATTCAATCGGGGAAAGGTCCCCCAGAGTCACGAGGGGCCTCTTGTGTTCGGTGTCTCCCGGAGGAGAATTGTCTTGGGTAGTGGTGGGGCTTCCCCCCACGCACAGTGATTGAACCGTATTGAAACTCTCTAGTCAGAGGGTAACTTCCCGCGCTGGCAGGTTTCATAGACTAGGCTTCATCTGCTTTCAAACCGAGCTATTAGTGTGTGGTGTGATTCCGCAGGGTGAGTCCAACACCCCGGTGAACTTGATCTCTGCGTAGGAAGGAACCAAATAAGGCATTGGGGTGGCTTCTTCCCAAGTGATCTGCTTGTTGTAGGTGTCCTGATTCTTGCCAGCTACTGTCAAAGCACTAACCATGTCTGTCCTGGCCGAAGGGAAACACTGGAGCGTTATTTTAATCTGGACGCCTTTAAATGGCAGGCTTCACGTTATGGATTGGTTGTTGCTGTTCAGAGATGTTGCTTCCATCCAATATTTAGCTGGTAGGTCTGTTTAAGTTTGGAGGAGGCTGTTCATGAATAAGATTTGGCATTGTAAGTGTGCAGCGTGGGTGAAAGCTAAACAGCCAAACTGTTCTCCTTTACATACAACTGAACTTTGTACTGGTTTAGTCGGTCTGTCACAGCTTCATTTTTCTGTTGATCTAAGGGGTGAGGCAAATTGCCCACAGTGTCACAAGGTGTCACGCAAACAGGCACAAGGAGGGGATGTTTGTCACCAGACAGTACCTCACAGAAAGGGATAACACTGACATTCGCTATCACTGTATGCCATCAACTGAAAGCACATTATCCCATATATTTAAACTAGCTTTTATTTCGGTGATCTTGTAATGGCTTCTCCTGGTAGCCCTCAAACCGGCTCGAGCATCTACGCTATGACATTATCATAGGACACATCAAATGTGCTAACGTGAGATGCACAGATTTCTAGAGAGGGGAGCAATAGTGCTTGGTTGTCCATGACGTTTCAAGACGACGTAGTAATACGGGTGTTGGTTGCTATGTAGCATGAGCAGGGGTGAATGTAACTTAAATCTCTTACAGGTACAGTCCTATGGCAGCCTGCCGCCCCTTGGAGTGAGGACTATAACTGCAGGTAGACGGTGGCCACACCTTAATCGTCACGGGCTGCTGTCTGTAGGGGACGTCATGATAAATATTGCGGTAGCCAGGGTACAAGAGTACCCTGAGTCGAAGTGATGTGGAACAAAGGGCAGCTTTTCATTTATTTTGCCTGTAAAAAAGGCTGTCTGCTAGAGTCTCCGCCGTCTGGCAGACAAACCCTTCAGCAAGCGGTTTTTAATCAAGGAATCTAATTTTTTTCGCCCCTCTCCCTGTTTCTTTCCTTGTGTGCCAAATAAATCTGAGGTATTTCTTTGGTCATTGTTCCTATCACTCGATGCTGCGTTTGGCTTTAGATCGACCAGCTGCTCTTCTAAAGTCAGTCTGGCTTGGGCTTGCCTTCACTCCCACCTCATACCCGGACTGTACAGTTCTTCAGGGGCCCGAGCCTGGCTAATTTTGAGCTCCCCTCCCGCCCCCAGTATTAAAATCAGCAGGACCTAAGGGATCTTAGTAGCTTGTACGACTGAGCCACACAACTTCCACTTTCTTCTTCTGTTGTAATAACCTCCTGTGATCTTTTGTTTCCACAACACAGCGAACAAGTGGGACAGGAAAATCCATAGAGTTCATTTTACTGATGCTGATTCCTATCAAAAATCTGGTTCATAATAAAGCTCATCCAATATGTATATGTTTATTATCGTGCTTAATGCTTTGAATTTGCTCCTTTAAAATCTGGGCGAGCCCATTATGTTATTTTTTATTAAATATGAAGGCGCGCTCCGGTGTGTGCTCCCTGCTTTTCATATTAGTTCTGCATCAATCCCTGCTCTGATTTTTTTAATCAAAACAGTATTCGGAATATGATTCCCCAAGATTATATTTTGAGAGATTTGCGATACATATCTTGCCGGGATGGGCAGATTGTAGGCAGTTCTGAGCTGCCTGCATAATCTGCATCGGGCTCGCTTGACCTTTTATTAAAAAGAAGTGCAATATATTAAAATCTTAAGACTCACAGCAGGTCATCTTAATTCAGTCTCCGATTCCTGCCCTTAAAACATACCAACGTGTTTAAGCATCCCTTAATCTTCAGTCCGGACCTAATCTTTCCGACCAGATAGAAATGGAGGTGTCTAGATTCGTGGGGTACAAATGAGTTTCCAAAATCTGGAGAGGACTCAAGAGAAAGACGTGGGCGTGGTATGGTAAGACTCACAGCAGGTCATCTTAATTCAGTCTCCGATTCCTGCCCTTAAAACATACCAACGTGTTTAAGCATCCCTTAATCTTCAGTCCGGACCTAATCTTTCCGACCAGATAGAAATGGAGGTGTCTAGATTCGTGGGGTACAAATGAGTTTCCAAAATCTGGAGAGGACTCAAGAGAAAGACGTGGGCGTGGTATGGTATCGAGGACCCACGTACTGATGGAGGCTGATTGCTTTGCCCCTAAACTAGGTCTCTTCTACTGTGTTACGTAAGATCTCCAGCCAGTGGCTGGGATTGTCGGGGTTTGTTACATGTCGTCTTGACACAGAGTTAGAGGAGCCAGGAAGTCAATGGAATCGGGGCTGCTTGGAACCCCATAGCCTATTTGCCAGGCGGTCCAACTTCCTTGCGCAGCGCCCTCGCTTTGGCTGTCGCTCGTTCTCTCCCGAGCGTCCACACTGGCCAGCCCCAGCGGCCACCCCTGCTCTCAGCTGGATGGAGGAGTGTGGCGGGTCCGGGCTGTCAACCGCTGACTTCCAACGAGGGCCGGTTTTCAGTCGCAACGCCAGAGCCATGTGCGAGGCCCTGGGGACTGTCCCGGTTCCCTCCCCGAGTGAGCGAAAGGCCTTCAGCCTTCGGAGGAAGGCGCTGGTGAGGCAGCTCGGGCCGAGGGACAGACCTTGGGGAGTCCATAGGTTTATATTCTCAGGGGATGCTGCCAAAGCCAGCTATCGAGGTGCCCCCCTCCCCATGAATCCTCTCCGTAACTGCGAGCGTGAAACAGCTGCCTAGAAAGACTGGAAGTAACAGCCCGTCGGGAGAACAGGCTGAGATTTTTAGCGGAGGGAGAGGATGAGACTCAAAAAAGCTCCCGGCCTTGGAATAAAGGGCCAATTGTGGACAAAAATGCACCTCTGCTGCTTTTCCAAGCTCAGAAAACACCTGTCCTCTCTGCGGTTGGAATTGGGAGGGGAGGGACTAAAACATCGACTTGCAAGAACACTCCCAAAGGGCCTAATACTCTTTATTACAAGCACTAATCCTTCAAATCCGACTTGAAATAATGTTTATCTTCTCGCAGCTTAATTTCCCTGCCTCTAAGCTGCAGGTCACTGCAACAGCCTGCTGCTCCTGCGAGGCTGGGGTTTCCCCAAGAATGCACAAGAAAGTGTAAAAGCAGCCTGCCTGGGGGATGTGGGAGTAGCACAAACCTCGATCAAGTCCTCTTTGTACCTCCAGGGAGCACGTTGGAAAATGCCTGGCGAGTGGCAATGCACTCCTCCCTCTTCTGCTGGTTTCAGCCCGTGCTACCTGGGCGATCGGTGAATTCTTTGATTCTCCCCCGACACACCGTGCCTCCATGGACAGGTGGATTGTGTTGTATGGTGGGCATAAAAAAAAAACGATTTCTGAGCCACCTTGGCATTCAAAACAAACACCATTTTTCACGAGATGCAAAATCTCTCGCTAGAGCGAAAGTTTGTCCGAAAGAGACAAGCCTGTAGCGAAAGCAGGGTCCACACAAATGAACTTAAGAGGCAATCGGTGCCGAGATCCATAGTGGGGACGGAGGCGATAGAATAGTCCTGCGTGGCTTAAGCAAGGGAATCAAGATTTCTCCGCTCTATTTTTCAATCAGAAGTCGCAGCAGAGCTGTAAAGGTGCAAGATCTGTCGGTGCCTCTCCAATTACAAAGCGAATGGAAGCAGTTTGATCGCATTGCAGGGGTCATTACGGTCTCAATGAGGAACTCTATGGATATTGAGAGTAAATTCCTATTAAGATTAATGTGCGATTAGTAAATCGTCCAGAATGAGCTGTCTGTTACTTCTAATTAGAGCTATGAAGTTGCGCTCACAGGAGCCAGGCGGTAGCCTCGGCATAGGCCACTTGAAATAGCTTCAATTACAATCCCACGGGGGTGATTGTTTAAATTGCAAGTAAACTTCGTTAAGGGGCATACCCGGCCGTGTTCACTTCGGCAGGGCCGAAGAAAGGATTGAGGCGACTGGACCACGAAACTGAGGGTAACCTTTTTTACTTACGGTCTTCATCACAAAACTCCGCGCTGCTTTTCAGCAGAAGAGCGGAGATTTTTATAAATAACGGGAAATACATTAAAATATATGCACTTTTGGAATATGTACAATAAAAAGAAAACAGGACATACATTTTGCACATTAAAATCAGTGTGTGAGAATATATAGAGATCGTACACAACATTTTTTGTTTCTTTTGCGTGTTTCATGCTCAGAAGGCATGATTAACTCAAACATCTAGTGTGTGTATATCATAGTTACTTAGCCCAGTTGTCCTACTGTCCAAGTGTGAAACTGCCACTAAAGAGGGAAAACACCTACATCATCACAGACACAACCCCGCCCTACAGCGTGGGAGTGTCACACCAACCACCTCCAATCCCTCTTCTTGATCTCTTCCCATTGATCTTCAGTTCCTCATTCCGGTAAAACACTTCACTCCTCCGTGACAACATGTAGGCGCTCCCCTGAGCAGTCCCACTTGTCTTAGTAGCCTTTGGTAAACATACCGAACTCTACTCGATATTCAAGATTGATTTCCCTGATTTATTAAGGCAGAATTCATTGGACTCTATTGACCACAAATGACTTAATGTAAATATTGACCTCGGTGAACTTGGAAATAGCTAGTATCGGGTTGATCTATAGATGACCTCTTAATTACCACAGTTATTAATTTAAATTATTGCCACTGCTTCTAGAGACAGGGAACAAAGGAACATTCTTTCCTCATCCCTGCGTGGTTTATTAGTCTGAACACAAAGTGTTTGATGACACTTTTAATTAAACAGAAATAATGCAGCGATGCAGTTTCCCTTTCTTGTCTGCCTTGTAAAGTTCAGCACTGCTCTTTTAACTGAATTATGGTGATGACCGCTAACAATGTCCTACTTTGCCACGCCAGACCACTTGATAGACTTTAAAGTGGTAGGGGCACCCAACATTTTCCCCAGCATGCACGTCTGGGAGGAGGGGCGGATATTTCAAAAAACAGGGCAAAGCCAACACACGGGGGGAGAGAAATCCCTCATTTTTCCTATTTGTCAGACCTTTGAGCAGCTCAGACATAACTTCCTCAAGTTTGGAAGACGGCTCTCTCACCGTCAGCTGATTGATTTTAATTAGACTCTTAAAAATACGTTCAGCAATATACAATGACAGAAAATAAACTGCCCGTCGAATTTCTTTTGCAACACCCCGTCTTTTGGCTCATCAGAACAATAGAGACCATAGGATTTACAAACATACTTTACCAGAGGAAGAAAGGGGGAGGGAGAAGGAATGAAAGGGAATGTAGGCTTGGTTGTCTGTTGTTTTTAAAGACAATGTCTTTAAAGTAGAAGACTGGTCTCTTAACCACGCTAATCACAGGTATATTACAAAATTACGAAGTTGCACATTGACCACGATGGTTCTCGAAGCGGGTTGGTTCAAACTTGGAGTGACAGAGGTGGGGTGGCGGGCATGGAGAACTCTTTTGTAAACTTGTGCGAAACTACAATGATCCAGTGCATGAGACGAGGTCTATAATTTATGACAGTTCCTCCACTCTCTTTCCTTGGGGGAGGGGGGAAAGAAGGTGAGTCTCATCCATTTTTAAAGCAAGTTGTGCATAAGTTATGATCGCTTCCTCATGGAAGAAGGGAAGCCGCAGTCATATGTAACGCTTTCAAGGCGCAGAGATCAACATTGTTGGCGGAAGATTTTTCAAGCCAAGAACTTTAGATACTCAGTCTCCCAAAAGTGCTGGGCTAACCTGCTGAGAAGGAAAGAAAAGTGATTAAAAAGCTCACTGGCACTCGTCAAGCGCCCCGTGCCTTAGCAGGCTATGAAAACATCTCAATGTGTCGGATTTAAATTATGGAGTCCCTTGCAAAACTAAACTTAGGTGCAACATTGGGGTGGGAGAGAGAAGGAACAGTAAATGTCTCGGGGCAACTTGCTTGCCGAAAAGACAGATTTGGACCCCATTATCTGTGTGTGCTCACATGACATTTTAAACTAACTTACTAGAATAGTTGCTGGTCCTGGGAGACATTTCCCTGGAAAGCAGAACACAGATACTATTATTTCTTTGTTCTTATCCTCTCCCCGTCCATCCTCCCCGCCAAACTCGCTGTAGCCAACGTCTCTCCTCTCTCTCCCACAAAGGTGTCAGAAGATGTAATAACCTCTCAACTCCTAAGCACACCAATAAACTCACGTAGTTTGTTAGAGTCGGGCTGTTTTAATAGGCCACATCAGTCAGATGCACACACGAAGTTAGGCTAGTTAAGGGGATCCTGTGGTTTTGTATAATCTCTTTATAATACTTTGAAAGGGAAACAGTATCCACTACAAAACATAGGAGGGATTGGCCCTAGCACATATTTCATATTTACTATCCTAGTGAGGAGCCCATAAAATGGTTTAGTGTGCAGGAAAGTTAGACACCTACCTCACCTCTTCAGCACTGGCCTAAAAGCTGTTCTCAGTTTATCTTTATGCTGCACTACACAACCTTCACTGAGATCTATGGCTCCTTGGTTGGGTTTCACACTTCTCCCAAACCCTGCGTATAGACACAACCATTTTTATAAGAAATGTTGACGCTTCACAACGTACATTTGCTTTGTCTGACCTACGCCGAAAGGCTTTCCAGCTTTCTGAAATCATTTCAAGCCTCTTTCGGCCTGCCCATGCCCCACTCCCTCACCCCAGCCAGGGGCTTGTTGTACTAGAATAAGTTTACAGAGTCGCAGACAATAATCAGGACCAGTACCCAGCTCCGTTAGCAAGAAGAACGGTTTGTTTTTCATGTGATCAGTGTTGTAAACGTGTTGGAACGGAAACAGAAGCTTTAATGGGAAAGGAGGTCATATGTTTAGGATTAGCTGCGTGTTTCCCGTGCAGGTCCATTCCCCCCATCAGGATGAAGAGAAATATGGAAGTACCTTCAGCGCCTGAAGAATACGGGCACGTCTCCCCCAGCACGGGATAGGAAGCACAGCTTAGCTGTATTGACTGCAGGTTGAAAGTGGAGTTTCTAAAAATCTTGGTGGGCTGTGGCCGTTCTTCGAACGCCCCGTCAGCTGTGGGCTGGGTTCGGAGACTCGGGAGGGGTCTCGCCTCCGGGCTGTGTCCAGACACCGGGTGCCTTCCTCTGCCCAGCACACAGTCCGGGCTCGCTGTCCTTTGCTGAGCGGCCGGGGGGCCCACGAGAACATTGGCACCTGCTGTGTGAGCTAAAGACCAGATTCGGGGCTTGTCTGTGGTGTCGTATTGCCGCCCTTGACTAATGGTGCCCACCACGTGGGCTGCCCTTTGCCCCACGATCTCTAAGAAGTCTCCTCCTGGCCCCGGCACGGGTCTGTTACAGGGGAGAGCGTGAAAATTGATGGGTGGGGTCATGCTGCAGTCACTTTTCTCAGACTCGGCCGCAGCAGCGCTGGCGCTGGACGCCGCCTGGTGTGCATTCTTCCGGTCACTTTCTGTCTTGTCTGCCTCATCCTCGTCCAAGTCGTCCAAGTCACTCAGCCTCAGGTCCTTTTCTTCCTTGAAGCTTTTCTGATCTGCTTTTAGAATAAAGGAGGGGGGGGGAACAAATATATTAGTGATCTAGTGAAAGGACATAAGAACCGTGCACGTGTGCGTGCAAGGCGAGATGTAAATCCCCGAGAGTCAATTTGTGTCTGTAGGGATGCTTTGTAGAGCCTGTTACCTAGTGACTTTTAATGCAACTTCCTACAGCGTTGGAGTGTGCTACGGTGTCTTTGAGGGGAGGATCTGTCTCTTGTCTTGTTCTTTAAACACCCTCCTAGTGAAAGCTTTGCTATCAAGAAAAAGAAATCAATGTATCCCACCAGAATAGCCAGCCCAAGCCAATTCAAAGTCACTTGTCCTCGATGGCCTTTCCCGCCCCTACCTTTGCCTTCATTTTCTGTGCCATATTCCTCTTCCTCCCTTTTGCCTTCCTCCTTTCTCTCCTCCCCTGCTTTGTTCTTGGGAGACCAGGTCATTTTGTTTTCTTTCTTGAGTCTCCGTCTGGCGTTAGCAAACCAAGTAGACACTTGGGTCAGTGTCATTTTGGTGATGATAGCCAGCATGATTTTTTCCCCTTTGGTGGGATAAGGGTTTTTTCTGTGCTCGTACAGCCAGGTCTTGAGGGTGCTGGTTGTCTCTCGAGTGGCATTTTTACGCCTGGCTGAGCCACTGAAATCCACTGTCCCATACCTGCCATGAAATATTTAAAGAAGAAATATCAATGAAGGGGAACATGCGGAAGTGGAACAAAATTAAATTTACTAGTAAGCTACCCAAGGTAAACAAATACAACCTCCCCGGTTTGTATTGGCTAGAATGAGCTATTTGCTATTTTCAAAGACCACTGGTGCCTTTATTCCCGGTACAAAGAGGACAAGGGAAGGAGAGGGCGTAATTAAGTTGAGATCACGTCCCGGTTCCAGTTCACCCTGTGTTGGGAGGTCATTAGCAGACGGCTACACCCAGTTTTAATACTGAGTACCACGTGTCACCACTTTAGCAGCAGATGTTGCTAATCCAATTTGCCTTTTCCTAGGACTTGATTACCACTGCAATTACCAATGAGATTAGCGGCAAAGTTTTATTTTAGATGACTGCTGTTAGCCGGTTGCTTAGATTCTTTGTATAACAGTTGTCAGCTAGAAAATCCCGGGGTTTTTTGATGTCTGTTGCTGCATCGCAGAGGGATATTAATGCTATTCGCAGAAGATCAAAGGGGTTTTACCTGTCGTACTGGTACTGCCCTAAGGAATGATCGTAGGGGTAGAAGGCAGCAGGCTGAGCGATTCCCGAATGCAAACTGCTGGTGCCATCCTTAATTTCATACTGAGGCGTCTGGAAGGGAAAGCAGCAGCTTTTGACGTTAAAATTGAAGGTGTTAAAATAGGAAATTCCTCCACTTTTCTGAATTAATCACCCTGCATTCTAATCATTTGCTGCCCCTGCTGTCCTGACGGGCCCCGCGGCTGCTTTTACAGCAGGACGGTGCAGCTGTCTTACTACTTTTGCTCTTTTCTCCTCTCAAGGACGGTGCAACTGTCTTACTACTTTTGCTCTTTTCTCCTCTCTCACTCTGCCTCCTCCCTCAAGTCCTAGAGCACAAGTTTGTCGCCTGTTGCAGGTTAGCTGCCCCCCTTGCTCCCCTCCCCTCCCCCGTGCCCAGAGGCAGCACTAGAATAAAAGCTCCCGGACACTGGACCAAGCTTGCTCTTTTGGGCTTCTACTCACCAGTGTGGTGTAAAGAGCTGGTGGGTCTGCACTGTAAGGAAGGTAGTTGGCATAGCCCTGACTCGCGGCGGCTGCTGAATAGGGAGAGCTGTACATCCCCAGAGCTGCATTGAGCTCCGTCCGAGTGCTGGCCAGCAGCCTGTTTTCGTAAGAGGGACAGCAAATAGTAGCTGCTTGGGCAGATCCCGAGGAAACATCCGACACCGATCTGGAGGCAGTTTCACAGCAAGTCGTACTGGGGCTGGCAGACACAAAAAACTGTGGAGAGGAAAGGATGGTCAAGGCGATTATTTTACGCGCTGCCCCCCCCCCTCAAGAATACAGAGCTGGGGGGGGGGGGGAAGCCTTCTCCAAACAAAGGCGTGTCAGCTAAGTAAGGGAAATTAGAAATAAACAGAGTGGGAAGCGTGTGTGATCTAGGAGGTAACTAATCAAAACTGGCAAAACTTTACGGAAGCCATTCCCATAGAAATGCTGAAAAAATCGGCGTAAAACTCCTTACACCTTAGTCACCTACACGGGTTTTTTTAAGGCAAGAAGTTGCGATTACAGATAACTTGACAATGGACTAGGCAAGTGATTCCATTGCGTTTAAAGGCACAGGAGAAGCCAACTGCCTAAACAAGGGGAAGAAAACCTTGCAGTGATCATCCCGGTGTATAAATAATCCAACTAAAATAAATTATGGATCCATTTACGGTATAGCAGCAATTTAGTTCATTGGGGGGCACTTTTGGAAGTCGTCCGGCAAAACCCAACACATTCTAAGCAAAGGCAGTTAGAGGCAACACGGAGGAGCATGGCCCGGATAAAGCACACAATAACAATATATAATAATATGAACCGGCAAACAAAGGCTCTGGCCAAATACTTCCTATATAGGTGCACAACAACCAGCCTGCGCGGCTAACACCACACAGAAAAGCGCCTGCAAAAGCCAATGCCTTACGCTGCGCCTCTCAATGAAAGCTTTAAGTGAGTAACATAGGTTATAGATCAATACAGATTTGTAAATCAGCTGCACCTAGAATTTTTTTGCCCTTAAAACAGAGCAGTGACAGGTCTGGTTGGTTCCCTGCCCTGTAAACTGAGCGTTGTTGTTATTTTTTTTTCAAAATCCTGGAATAACACAAGCGACACACACACACACACACACAGAGCGAACACACTTTTTAAAAAGCCTCCAGATGTGCCCTTTAAACAGACTCTCGCAAGGGGGTGGGGGAAGGGAACAAGACATCTGGAATGCAGCAGCGGAATCTGATGAAAAGTGAGTGCTCTCTTCTCTTACCTGCGAAGTGGTGCTGTAAGGGTATCCAAACTGAGAGAAGGACATAGCTGCTCCTTATTTTTGAACCATAAGCAATATTCCTCCCCCCCCAGATCGATTGTAACTAAACCCCCCGCTTCAAGCTGTACCTTCTCACATACACACTTCCACGTAGGGCTTCCCCCCCACCCTTCAATTATAGATGGTTGCATTTAAGAAAAGCAGCCAGGCATCTGAGGCATGAGGTATGGAGCCTGAAGGAAGGCTTCCCCCACCTCCCATCATTCTTAGGACTGTATATGTTTATATAGAAAAATCACCCCAATGTATGGAGGCTTTAACTGAAAAGGGGAGTTTAAAAGAAAGGAGGGGATATGGAGCCTGCTTGTTGTATTATTTTCTGCTCTATAGTTCTTTAGCATTCATCCATGGAAGAGTATCAAAGTGACGTCATAGTAATCCCGCAACGACAGCACCGGCAAGGCTATAACAATCTTTGCCAATCATCGCGAACATCTCAGCTGCACTCAACACTTGTTCCATGTTGTTTTAATGTTGTGCTGTGATGCACGTCAAAGGCAGGGACCTGAAAGGCTGTGCGGTTGGGCTCTCGCCCGCTCGCGTTAGAACCCCAGCCCGATTTTGATTTTGAAACTTGAGCGGGGGAGGGGAGGGGGTAAAGAAAAAAACTTATTCCACGCACTAAAGTGTAACACGGACCGTTTCGCTTCTCTCCCCCAGACAGACCGCCCCCCCCAGCCCTGGAGCATCAAAGAAAGAAAAAGGGGAAGAAATGGCGTTTGCAGGTAGTGCGGGGTGGGGGTAGGGGGATGATGCGGTACACAGGAGTTAACCATGCTGCTCCAGTCTGTCTGCCAGGGGGATCAGCAAATGTACCTGACTCTTGAACAAGTTCTCTAATATGTGTCTGCCTCTGTGCTAATTATTCCATCTCCCTGCCCCCCCCCCTTTATGCTCATCTGGGGTTGTCTGTTCCCCAGCCCTAATTTCTGCATCCGAGTCCGTTATTCGTGCTGCAAAGGCGGAAATCCACATAAATTCATCCTCTTGCCCTTTGCAGTGGCCCTGAGTGGAAGGGGGCAAAAAAAAAAAAAAAATCTGCTCAAGGCGCCTGCAGCTTGCAGGAGAGGGACAGACGCCTGGACTCCATAAATGAGGTGGGACTGACACATGCGGGAGGGAAAGGGGGGCTGAAAAGACAACAGCATGATCAGCAAGCAGGGAGGCGAAGAGCGCCCGGAGATGTCTTTCCTCTGGCTCGAGCTAGCCCGCTCCCTGGCCCAAGGGTCCCTCACTAAGTAATGATGAGCAGGGGATCCATTTTTCTCTATTAGATCCTGAAACGGTCCCAATAGGAATGAATGGAGGGGAAGGGGGAGGGGGAGCTTTGACAGGTCAATGGGAGGGTGATTGATGGCTGCCTGGAGACCAGCCTGCCCATTACCACTAAGGCGTAATTGCATCAATTAACAAATGGAAATGCCCTTGTTTAACCAGCAACTTACACATTGCAAATTTGCCTTTGAGGTGAGATCTTGGAGGGAGGGGCAGGGGAATCAGGAGGTTTTCAGGTCGTGTACTACCGCAACTGCCCGGCAGATGATTTCTCTCCAGGAGAAAATACACTGCATTTTAAGGCCAATTGCCCCTCCCCCGACAGGAATAATGGTCAAATGGAAATGCCCTTGTTTAACCAGCAACTTACACATTGCAAATTTGCCTTTGAGGTGAGATCTTGGAGGGAGGGGCAGGGGAATCAGGAGGTTTTCAGGTCGTGTACTACCGCAACTGCCCGGCAGATGATTTCTCTCCAGGAGAAAATACACTGCATTTTAAGGCCAATTGCCCCTCCCCCGACAGGAATAATGGTCCCGCACTCTCTGACCGGATCTGATATCTTGTGCATGAATGTCGGTGGGGGACGAGGTTCCGTGTCCCTGTGAGCCACCAATTTGACAAATTCCGGGGAGGGAGAGGGGATAGATTTATTTTCTCATTGAAAAAGATAATTATAGCATCCAGTCTCCCTAGGTCTGTTGCAGGGCCTCTCAAACTAGTTAGTTTGTGCAAACCCGTTTCTCTACCGGTTTTGTCGTCAGGGAGCATTCCACACACACCAGATCCAGTGTGAACGGTGCCTTCGCTGCAATTTGGAACGGAGAGTTCCACACCCGGCTTGCAAGAGACGGGTGGCGTAGCTATGAACAGTGGCATATTGGGGGTGGTGGTGGAAGCAAGCCAATTAACCCTACTGCCTGCGCTTCCTTAGGCTGGGGATCAGGGCAGATAGAGGTCACGCTGAAAGCTGGCTTTCCTTTTCTTCTGCTGCCCTTCTGAAGTTGGGGATAGGAACTGACAAATAATAAATAAAATAATCTTGGCTGCAGTTGCGCCGATTCTCTAAGGGTGGCGCTAGAGAGCCGCGAGTGAAGCCGGGACCGGATCAAACAGCGCTCGCTTTAGAGCTGATCCGCAGGAAGCAAAGAAGCCCGCACCAAAAGAGAATCAACAGAATTAACCTGTTCCTTCAGGGAACGAGACGCGCTCAGTCAGGTAGAAATACCTTCTGCTCGCAACCTTTTCAAAGTTTGCAAGCAGAAACTGTGCAAGCAAGCCCGAAAGCTTGCCTCCAAATTGCATGCATCGAAAGTTGGCTCTCGCTGCAGCCAGAGCAGTGGCGTTAGAGTTTGCAATGTGGGCTAGCTACAATGTTACCAGGCTGCAATTCAATCCAACCCTCTGCAGAAAGACCGGTTATTTCGTATTTGGGTTCGGCGCTAACCATGCCAGCTTGGGCACAGATAGTTTGCGAAAAGCCACAAAGCAATTCAGCCATGTCGAGCCAAACTTCTCTTATTTACACCAATCGCCTTCTAAATTCAGACGCCCAGGTTCTGGGAAACTCTGGGATGAATTGCTGTCCCTTTTCAACAACAATAAAAAAGTCCCACAATTCTGGTTTTGTTTAAGTTTCTTTTATTGAGAAACAGCGCTTCTCACTCGGGAATTAATGTATTGTTATTGCTGGAAGCTGCATTGAATATGCCAGAAAGAATCCTCTCCACGGAGCAAGGGAACTAACTTTAAACACTTTCCACGTGTAAATAAGACCCTGGAAAGTAAGTTTACTTTAGGCTGTTGTATTTCAACCGTAGTGTGTGGGAATAAACGAGGCTCTAATGTAAGGTGACAAGAATAGTTGTAGGGAGATCTGGATTTGTTGCACTACTGCAATTACTAAAAGGGAAGAAAAGAGGATATACAAGCCATTCTTCCACCAGTCAGGTATAGCATTGGACTGCTCCGCTCCAACTTGTATACCAGACTCAGCCCTATTTCCACCACCTTTTGTGGCAATAGGAATATAAGAATCCTTCGTCTCCAAACACACTCATATTACAGATTTCAGTAATACGCAGAGGCCAAGACTTCCATTATATTTCAGGCCAGCTTCAAAGCTCACATATGTGGGGAAGGAGAGGATATTTGCACTACTTAAATCCAATCTGGAGTAATTATTTAAATGTACAGTATACACTACTTGAAAGTCTGGATTTAAGCACAACATCTTTTTTACCCTTGATGACACCTCATTGAACGGTATGTTGGAAAGAGCACGATATTCACGAAGGATTTGATTGTTTGTGTTTACTTTGTATATTAACACTCAGTGGGCAGAAAGTGTCATAACAATAATTGTGGATTATCTGGAGTAGTACTGTTGGTGTGAAATGCTGTTCAGGGCTTTCTCTCCCTTCCCTTGTTTGTTTACAATTACACTGGGTATCCACTAATTCAAGATAACAGAAGAATTGCTTGGTTTTGAGATCTGGGTTTTGTGTATTAAAATACCAGTTAATGGAATGCCATTCTCCACACTAATTTCAGTTGCTCTTTCTGGGAGTTTTGCCAGTATAGAAGGTACAACATCTAACCCCTCAGATTTCAATGCTCCTGCTAATGTTTAATCTTCTGGAGAGCTCTTGTGCTTCCACTCTGCTGAGTTCCTGAACCTTGCAGTATCCAGTTACCTTGAAAACAGCTGAAATTATCTTCAAATCAATGTGACTATAATTTCTTGGGGAAACAAAAACAAAAAAGCCAGACTTCCATTTGAACCGTTGATGATCTGAAGTAGTGCTGTTTGTGTGAAATGTTGACCAAAGCTGTACTTTTCAATCAAGCAACTGATCCATTTTAGCCATTGTTGACAGTTGCAATAATTTAAGAAAATTAATTAAAGAACACTTTTGGGTAACATTATTGCTAATTTTTTAATTGCAATAATCCCGAAAGGGGGGAAATATGTTAATTATAAAGTAATACAATTATTTTTTTCTAAATCACTGGACTCAGCAATTGTTATTACCAATTTAGTATTTCCTAACAAAAATGCTTTCTTAAATTATCTGATAAAAGCAGCCACAACAATTTTTGCTCAGCCTTTTTTGTGAAAAAAACCATAGGGGCTATTGTGAGGGCATTATTGATTTACTCTTGATTTATAAATCCAGCCAGATTGTAGAAATGCTATGTTTAAGTTTACCTCTCTCTCTTGACCTTAAAAATAAATGAACATCAAAACCTCAGCAAAGCCAATCTCATAATAGACACAATGCAGATCAATGCAAACAGTATATTTGTCAATCTGTACCCAGCACAATCAATATTAAAACAAATCTATTACCTGTTAAGTATCCTGTAGCTGAGTGCAGCTTTGAGAAATGGCCTTTAGCAACTAAATTCTCCGTTTACTTGTGGCACCTTGCCTTGCCCTTTGGAGATCTTTGTGTAGCATACTTTGTGCACAAGAGCCAGACATGTGACCATTTTAAATTACCCTTCCAACCTGGGATATTAAGCTATGTTCACATTAACCAATACAAGTTCTACCTTCCCCCACTAGATTTTCAAGAGGTCAGAAGTTCTATCTTTCCTTGTTCTTCTGAAACACTGCTACCAGGCTGTCTGGTTATCTCACTTAGCAACTGGAATCAGTATGTCAAAACTATTCAATCATCTTTCTGTGATATGTAAACATCAGCATAAACTTTATGTAAATAGCTTCTTGAACTAATCTTGGTTCAATGAAGGTTTGGAGAGAAAGTATTGTGGAATTGGCGTTTATTGTTTTGATTATAGTAAACCACTTCAGCAACTGTATTGTCATTCTGTTTTTCACACTGTTGGCAATGTTTTATGGGAGAACTTAAGTTACCATGATGTGGTAGATGATTGTTGTAAATCTTTCTATATATATATATATATAATATCTCTAACATCTGTCATTTCTTTCTACACACACTCTATGATTATATACACACCGTGTGGATTCCTTTTAATAAGCTGTTCCAAAGGAAAATATATCTATGTACTATACACAAAAAGAAGAAAACGATACCTTTTGACTTAAAACTTATGTTTTTAAAGAGAAGAATATCTGACTCTCAGCTGA